ACAAATGACCTGTGATCAATTGATATGTGAGAAAAGACACTACATTAGACTGCACGTAGGCCTACGTGGAGCAAAAAATTGAAATATTGTTCGCCTCTGAACGGTTAGATCTAAAAGCCTAATCTAGTACGAAAATCAGTTTGTGCTGATATTTCCTATTTTGCATCTGTTGTGTGACGATGAATAATATATTCCTCTACGAGAAATGGCCATTTTTTCTTTATTATTTCTGAAGTATGTTTTAGGGGACCTAAACTTGAACCATTTAAAGATACTCTTGCATGAGTTTGAAAATTCCCAAAATGCTTATTTTTGCCAATCACAACTTCTTACAAAACCTTACATTCACCTTAAAAATTTGTCTAACCACCTATAGGCCTATATTTTTTGGAGCGTACCTGATGTTAATATTTAAATTGGAGCTTATATATAAGTAGTAGGCCTAGTGGCTGATATCAATTATTCGGATTTCCATTTTGATTACCTAATCCATTATTAAAACACCTATATGAGTTTGGTCATTAACAAGCGTCCTTAACTAACTAATATCAATTTTGTTCGCACTAATCTGGAATGCGTTACATGACGGTCGTTCAACGGTACATCTACCGCAATCAGATGAAGTCCCTACATGTGAGGCTTTTCATCAACCTCATCATATGTTTTTATCTCAATGGATGACATAGACCTGTTCTTCCTGTCCCTGCCCCCATGGCCGAGCTCAGTGCCATTGCAGATACATTTAGTAAATCGTGCATTTTTAACAGAATAACTCTTTTTTATTGAGAAGGTTTCAGAGTAGGCCTATATGAACATTATGTAGGCCCATATCCGAGTAGGTCTAGGCCTATTTCCCGAGGAGACATTGGGTGAAAACGCCATCCACTATACTTTAAAATGTTCGCCATTCAGAAAAACATCAGTCTTAGAAGACTGCGGAATTGTGGTTGAAATAAAAATTATACAGAATATATAATTTCATTTCCCTTAGATTCTGTTTGATTGTGTTTGTGCACCAGCGAGGGTGAGCGATTTCGCGTCATATTGGGTGTATGTATTGGTGGATAAGTTTTGTTTCTGTCATCATTGCGCAAATTATCTGATTTAGTTACAGCATGCGTTCTGTCTGGATCTAAAAACGGGCCTTACCCCATATAGCACACCATGTACCACTAGTCGTACCCACTGCCTGAACGAGGACTTCTTAATACAAATACTGACCAAGAAACCAGTCCATGTTGCTTTTAACTTGATATTATGCACAGTTTAATATACGGAAAAAAAGTATTTTGAGCCAGTGTTTCAATCAACACCTTTAACACTCTGTAACGTACACGCCGAGGTTATGGCACCTTGACAGTTGCCATATCCAAGGAGTTATAACAAACTCCTTGCCATATCCGAACTTCCGTGTCCAAGTTTTATTTTCACTCTTGATATAGGCCCTATATAATTTATTATAAAATTTTGGATATTAAAGATCAGCCAGTAAGGGCATTTAAGAAAACGTCCAAGAAAATGGAAATAAATGTACTCGTTACGATATCAGAGTTTGAACGGCCCCACCTCAATATTTGAATCGTGAAACACCATATAGGCCTAAACACTTTCTTGTCGTATTTTGTGTCTCAATTTCTTATAAAGAAATTGAATACTAATTTAAGGAGCGACTAAGATCGTGCATTAGTAAATTGCCCTTTAGTTTGCTGCTTGTTTATTGACGGAAGGCAGAAGCGATTACAACTTGTGCTAATTATGTTAAATCACGTTTTCAATGCAGGGGGCGGAGGTAAATAGAGGAGCGAGAAAACCCTTTATAGTACATTTCACGCGTTTTCCTGCATGTTATTAACCTTCTCAATGAAGGGAATTTTTGCAATTATCAGATTGTTTATTTGTTTCCTCAATACGAAGAAAAGGCGCACAATACGAGTCAAATGCCACTTCTTTTATTTACGGACAGAGAATATGAGGAAGGTGCACCCGATAACTTGAGTGTGTTTGCCTAGTTTACGGCTGATCAGTAAGCAAATCAAGCTATGTCATTCAGAGGTGCCATTTGCTTCAACTGGGTAGAAAAGGAACAAATCGGTGGGATTGTTACCCCTAATTTACTGCTATTAATCGGAGAGTTTACATAGAACCCTTGGGGTCGTACGGAGTTTTGGCAGCGTATCAGTTATAACAAACTCATATAACCTTTCTATTAACCAAAGGTACGCTTGCCAGCACACGTGGAATTTTTACTTCCAAAAAGTCAAAGTATTACAACGGGAGGACGTTTCACCGGTCATACACTAGGACATGACATCGCATAACTGTACAAATTTACGAATTGGAGATTTGAAAAGTTGTTGACTTATTTAACGAAATAAAAACAGACGGAATTTTGACATGCTTCAGGTATTTACTTTGTTGAATAAACTTTTCAAAATCCCGTTCTCATTAGGAATTCAACCTTCGTCATTCATGAGAGCAGGGGCCCAGTGCAGTTACGATAAAAAAAAAAACGATTAAACACAAATAGGAATTAAATTCCTAAACTTGGGGTTTCACTTTCAAAAATATTTCTAAAACAAATTATCATGCACTGCTTAACGCGCCTTGGGAGGTAACCCGTGAATTAAGTATTTAATTATTAACCCTCATACGTGAAAGAAGTGGCACCATAATTATTCCCAAATAAACATTTCAAGAATTTGTGATAAATGCACAACTTTGCATCACATGGCCTTGTGAAAAGATTTTATATCAAATTCTAGCCTTTGATCCGACCCCTCCGGTTAGCATATTAGGGTATAGTATGTAAAATACAAAGAAAGTGCGTGTATTAATTGACCCACCCAGATATCACTATGCCTTTTATCTCGCGTAAAACAATAGGCAGTTGTTAATGAATTATCCCTGTGGCAACAGAGATTGCGTGAGCATATCCTCTGTTCTTTGATTGGGAATAAGTTCATCACCGGTTCTCGTTTGTTCTTCATAATTAAACACAACGAGGTCTTTGTCTTCCCGTGTGTTGACCTTAGCAAATTACGAGTACCGGTATAATGGGATTTGTGTTGAACGCCAAACGAAATCTCGCTCGGGTGGTCGATAGGTTGTAGTCGATAGGGCGTGAACCATTTTATTTGCCGCATCTTATTTTCTAAATATTATGGCATACATGTATATACACAGATATGATAATTTTGGACAAAATAATTTCAGCATGGATTGCCTCTGTGGGAAGACTTTTAACAAAAGCAAGGACATAATGAGAGATCTCTCATTATGTCCAAGACAAAAGTAATGAACTTTCTATGGACTTTATGAAGGGCTGATCCCGTGTGTATACAGTATATAAAGTGACACCGAATAATAAAAATTTTGTTGGCTGGTCATTTCGGTTAGCATCTCTCATCTATTATCTCAGCGGGAGTCTCACTGTTGTTTAAGTCCACGTGGGGCTATTTGCTTCCATTAACGGGCATTGTTTATTCATGGAATGTAACAGTCAACGAAGAAATTAGCCCCGTCAATAAGTCGATTATTACCCGGCTCATTGAAGTCTATTTTGAGAGTGTCGCCTAAGCCGTTGTCCACACGGAAACGGTCCTACTTGTTGACCACGAGGCTCTTTGATTTTGAAAACAACATTTCTAAAGAACAAAACAACTTTGTTTGTTCTGGTCGTGATCGGAAATGATATATTCGAAACAATGACACGCTCGGACCGACTCTATTATTCTTAAAAGATTACCTGACCCAAACTTGATATTACAGGCAGTATGTCCATCTTGCGGTCATTCTGTTTGTCGAATTTCATGGCACAAAACCTCAAAGTAAACTTCAAAGTATATTATGATCATTATCATTCAGCATGAAGTCAAAAGGCAAAAATCACCTGTACACTGCTACAATTCTCTATTACAGACCGAAAAAAGTTATATCATCATCACATCGATTTAGACTTTTACACATATAAGTAAAATAATGAACAAGTTTTAATGCTGCGAGTGTGAGTCCATGCAGCCGCGTGGAAGTCCGCGTGCTGACCTGTGACCGCTCCCAATTCAGTGGCCGGACTGGTTTAAAGTTTCGCACAACATCCCCAAC